AGTGTGCCAAATGCAAAACAAGAAGAAATTGGTAAGGGGACAAGTACTTTTTCACAGCACTGCACATAAAGTTCCTTCTCTTGCAACCCAACATAAGTCCACAAAGAAAGCCACACTGATATTCATCTCTGATGTTGTGCTGTTTGCTAGTTTTCTACCTGCATCTTTCTGTGCACGTGATGGAAACTCATGCAAAGAGCTTCGAGAGAAATTCACTGGAACTTGCATTAGACATTTCCTGATACTGATATCAACCAATGAAGTAAAGTACGACTGTGATGGTATCTCTCTGTGCCACAGTGACAGAGCAGTATCAAGAGAGATATAAAGTGATAATATGCTGTATGTGCACATAACATGATGTGAAGAAGCAGAGAAACATCACAAGGAGAGCAACAGTAATGTTGACTTTCCTACCAAGCTTTTTTTTCCTAATACATTGAAGAGCGTTTTTCGAATCGACTGATACACATTAATATTTCTGAAAATTCACTTGATTATTATGATGCATTCACTCTTTTCAGCTTCTGGCTATAGGTGGGCAGGAGCAGGATGGAGAAGTGATCTGATTTGCCAAACGGAGGTCGGGGGAGGGTTGTATGCCCCATGGAAAGGGGAGTAGCAGTGATCCAGTGTGCATGATGTTCATGTGCTGCATGAGATTTGTTGGAAGTACTTTGGAGCAACTTCCCTAAAGTTTGCTTTGTTAAATTCCCCAACAACAATGGTGGCGGCCTCTGGGCAGGCGGTCTCCTGCCTGTTAATAGCCTCTTACAGTTGCCTGAGTGCCAGATCTGTATCAGTCTGTGGTGCGATGTACAATGACCCCTGAAATCTCTCTTGGCAGCCACAGTGGTCTGCACGAGAGGATTAGATGTTCCAGGACCGGAGAACAAAAAGACTTAGTGAAGTGTACGTTCATCTGTTCACACCAAGCATTATTGATCATAAAACATACACCTCTCCTATTTACAATGTTCTGTCTGCTTGGTGCACAGAGAAGCCCACAGGCTCGATGGCCTCATTGAAATCTCCGCTGATAGACAGGTCTTTGTGAGGCAGATTATACAGCAGTCCCAAGTCTTTCGCTGAAAAGAGATCAGTACCCTGAGATTTTGTTGTCCAGGGACTGTACATTTGCCAGTATTATGGGAGTGGGGGGCAGCTGGCTCTTCTACCCCTTTTCCCCTGTCTGTGGCGTTTTCTTAGGTGGGGGGGGGCAGCATTTTTCCTTTAGTCAATCAAATCATTATTTAAAAACAGTATTTTAAATTTATATTGGGTTTTGTTCGTCTAATATAAAAAGTAGTCTGATGATCTGAAACATTAAAGTGTGACAAATACAAAAATTACACACTTAGACTGTTTCTACCTACTAGGGAATGTGTGGTTGGGTTGCTTTGTGTATTCAAATGACAGTCCGTGGGCTGCCAGTCTGTTTTGCATGTGTTTACATAGAGAGATGCACAGAGACAGCAAAAAATGATGAAAGCGAACCTTTTTTCACAGAATGCCACTTGTGTCACGAACAAGCATCCAAAGTGAGCTAGCCCTAGCATAGCACATTATCACAATCACTTGAATGCTTAAAGTTCTTTACTTATATCATGTCTCTGAAGTCATAGTAAAAAATTTAAATTTTATATTTTACTTTGGTAGTTTGATTAATCTTAAACTTTCAGTTTTGACTTACTGAAAAAAAAGGCAAATTTAAGTATTTTTTCTTTGTACCTTAACTACTTTTGCGTATGTGCAAATTAATAGATGTTGAGAAGAAGACAACTTCAGAAAATGAGAAAACTAGCAAGCAAGACACTCCCTACAATGCCTACAGTGTTGATGTTTCATTCTCATGGTCTTAGAAACAAACACAAATGCATACACTAACACAGTGGCATGCACCCGCCCCCCGAACACCCACAAAAACACAAAAGCAACCCAACCACACATTTTCTAGTAGGTCATTAAAACACCGGAATGTTGTCACCAGGGCAGTCATAGGATGGGCTTTACAGATCTTAATATAGAAACTTTAATTTTTGTAAACATCTGTTTTCTTTGTAACCATCTAATTAGCACTGCTACAATAATGATCAGTTGAATAACACTAACAAAACTTTACCAGATGTTTCAGTTGTCACCGTTTCAGTCGTGACACTTTTAGCTAATTTAGAGCAAAACTCAAAAACACTAGCACAGCAGTGAACAGTTACAAACATGAAATCATCTTTCATTACAACACAAAAAAAGTTTATTAATTGCAAACAATGTGTGCTTCCATAGTGACAATTCTTAATGTTTCACACTGATTTACAGAGTTTGGGACACATTTATTAAAATCAATGGGATCTAACTGCTCATCAGGTGGCCATGAGGGACAGGAATGGAGCCTCACCTTCTGCTCTAAAATGCAGGGGTGTGGCTAAAATAAAATGATATTCCAGTAGCAACAGAATATTGTTACGATATTTTAAACATAAAAGGTCATCATTGTACATACTATTGTGTAGCTCAGAATTGAAGGTGCAACTCGTCATAGTCAGAAATGATGTCATACAGGTTTTACCAGAATTCAGCAAAATGTATCAGAGGTTCAGCTCTCAGTGAACTGATTACTGCAATATATGACAATCTTTAGGTGGTAGAGTAACAACAGCAACAACAAAATACCCTTATAAATCAATTATACCCTTGTAATCCATTATACAATCAATCAGAGATAAAACACACACACTTTCTAAGCTGCTTGTCCTTATGGGTCGCAGGAGAAGCCAGGTCACCAGTCCATCACAGGGCAGACAGAAAGACATAGTTCCACAGCTGGTTGCATTTGGGATTATGAATATGAATAAATAGCTCTTGGACTGATTGCTAATAGTTTCTAATTGCCATCTCCTGAAATGTGTTGTTTAGAACATGAAATGCTTGAATATTAAAAACAATGGCCCAGCAACCACTTAGCTACCTCTTCATGACATTTGCAGTGTCAGACTTGTGAAAAATATTGCTTCTTATTCCCAGCTCGAATTACAACTATCAAGATGCACTTGTGTAATTACGTGTAAAAGTGTAATAACAAATTATACATGTAATTTCATACCACTGAAAGTTGTTAACAGACATCATTTAACACAGCTGTATTTGTTAGGTTTTGTGAAGCTGAAACATAACCTTGTACAAGTTGAACATGCTTAATGAAAACACCCCCGGAAGGTGTCCTTTCACTTCACCACATTAATTATGAATTATGTGTTGCAAAACAAAATTAAAAATAAAACTAAAAGTGGTTAATTGTTTCTTGCCCTACTACATACAATATACATACAGTATGTATATACCTATGTACATCAATAATTTTTACTGTCTTTGTTATGCTATATAGTTTAGACATGCAAATATAGATATGTATGATTGAAATAAGGATCCTTTGATGTTGTGTACAGGTCATAGACCACAGCTTTATTGATTAAAAAATGCAAAATTACAGGCAGTCTACCATACGCTTCTCATGGTGTGCAGTAGGAGTTGCATGATTATTAATTTTACTAGTTAACTAGTTGTTCAAAAACTAATTGATCATATGAGTCATTTACCTACAGTTAAGTATTTTGTCGGTAGCCTGCTAATAGTGCCTAGCAACAAATGTTGCCTTTTGAGGTAAATTTGCATTACTGTTAAATTTTTGTGGCATTTTGATGGGAAAAGGTTCAGAAAAGGTGAACTGTATTTACATTGGCACTGATGTGCTGTGAACCTCAAACACTTCTGTCTCCTGCTTCAAATCCTGCATACATAAAAGAGGGCAGTACAATGGGTAAATTTCAAAATCCTAAACTGTTATGTAACAGTTTTGACTCATTAATATTTATGCCCCCAATATTTACATACACCAGCCCACATTCTAGCCCAGCAGGTATTGTAAAGAACGAAATGACAATGGAGCAACAGAAATGAAAATGGCAGACTATGTGCAGAAATGTACCATTCAGGCTGTGAAAGTATGTCGGTACTGTCAACAGGCATGGATAATGTTCATCTTTAACCGAGGCTGAAGTTGGCTTTCTATTCAACAGCTTCTTAATTTAATTGCCCTCTTTCCACCTTAATTTTCACTAGCAGTTCCCATAGTTATGGAATGGACCAAATACCAAGTAATGCCTAAACTAATCTCAATAATATTGTTCCTATATTGGTGCCACCAATAGATGAAGTGAAGCTTCATGTACGAAATTCCAGTTTAATCCTTGGTTGCATCTAGTATCACTTTTAAGACTGGCATTCACACACATAGCTAGCTGCCTTTAACTTTTACCTACCCCAATATTGATTTAATTATCCTTTATCTTAAAATTCATTGCATATATCTTTTAATGTACCACAATGTTACATTTTCTGGAAATAAACATTTTTCTTTTGAGAAAAACAAGTTGAAAGGTTGGAGTTGGGGCCACAAGAGGGATTTAGCCCAATACCCTGGTATAGCCTAATACAGCACTGGCCTTCTTGTTTTTAAAAGTTAGTCAAGAATTTCTTGTTAAGCTGGTTGTAATAAGTGATGTCTTTGTGCCATTGCTAACACATGCTACTTTATTGTTTATTGTTCAAGTCTGTTTTTGAGGCATCAGTTTTACTCTTTAGGCTCTATACATTAGTTAACTAGTCCATGCAACTCCTACTACGAACATACTACCTAATCTTCATAGGTGGTGCAAATGAAGTTAAGTTTCTGGTTTTCAGGCAGGCTGACCCACTGCTGACCTCCTCTAGACTGCACCGCTCCGGTTCTCTCTACAGAGCTGCAGTCTTCTCCTCCTGTCCCGTTACCTGGAGCCCAGTTCTCGTAGCAGACAGAAAAACCACTCACCCAGTACCAGAAACCCTGAGTGCAGGTGTACCGCATACCCAGCCACACGTGATCAGTGGAGGCTTTCTGTGCCACCTCCTTCACCCAGAGCTGGATGTCTTCAGAGTCAACCGACACCATGTCCATGTAATTCAGCCTGCAGTATCTCAGAGCTTCTCTCCAGGTCAGATTCTGCTTGATCAAGATCAGCTTATCTGGAGACAGAAGGAAACAGTCTAAGTGTATAATTTACATGAGAAGCCTACTTCTTACATGGCTTACATAAGCAATTTGTACATTCATGAAGAAGTCAAATAAAGCTCACTCTCATGGCAGATGAAAGGTAAAGTGGTTTGACAGGGCCAGCCTTCCCAGCTGCCCATGTTCTGCCCCTTTATAAAGATTGCAACACAGTTCTCATTTACGAGAGCACCATCTGGCTGTCCAGTTGACCAGTTCCTATATATGGAGTTACTCTGATCTGACCACCCCCAGGACTCTCTGAACAGGCCGATCCAGACAGGGGTTCTATTAGCTACTTGGTGGATCTCTTGGTTCTCACTCTGGTTCCTTACAGTGGGCAGGTCTCGGTACTGTGTTCTGCAGTAGATCTGAGCATCAGGAAAGGTCTTTTGCTGAGTAACCAAGACTAATTTTGTAGCTGCTGTTTTCTTTCCTGAAAGAAAATTAAAGTTAATCATGATCAGTTCCTTCATATATTTTACATTTTGCAAAGAGTGTTTGGCAGCAGAAGAACAGTGGAAGTTGCAGTATTCTGCAGTATAAATTGCTAAATTGTGCTGTAAAGTTTGCACACCCTTTAGAGATCTCTGAATTTCTGCACTAATGTTGCCTAAAATGTAAAAATGTAAAAGTGTTTATTTTTTCAAACTTCTGTCAAAAATTGATTTCCATTAGTTTCTTACTGTGTGAACATTTAGAGATAAGTGTAAAATTAGCTTGGATTTTCACAACAGAATCAGTTTAAACCACTGAACAAATATGTAACTACCAACTGTTTTGTCTGTTCAGCTGTGAAATCCAATTGTCAAATCCAATTTATAATTTCACTTAACTTTTTTTTTTTTAAAGAATGCATCCCACACAGTACAAGATAGTAAAATGTCAATTTTATGATTCAGCAAAAGGCGTTCTGACTACAAGAAGATTTTAACAGATGACATCCAACAGGGAAAATTTGGATCAGTTTGTTTATGTTAGTTAAATAAATTAAAATATATAAATTGACAAAACGATGAATATTGCAAAATGTCTTGACTATAAAACAAGACTTGAAAAAGATTATTTATTACTGGACCCACAACAAAAAAAAAAAATGTCTTTTTTTATTACAGATCTTCTGGCACTGACAATTGAAACTAGGTAGAATTCTAAAAATATATCAAGTTATTTTGTTGAGTTGGAGTTAATTTTGTAAAATTACCAATATGCTTGTGTATGTTATTTATATAACTGTTTTTCCCCTTATTTTATTAGTAAGATGAAGATCTATTCACATTTTGAGAGTCCTGTATGGCTCACAAACTTTGTAGTACAATGGCAATCAATCAATTTCTAGTAAAATGCCAATTCAGTTTCAGTATATTCTTATTGCATCTATACAGTGTAAAGTGCATGTTCCTACCTGTGTAACATACAAAAGGCCAGGTCTTTGTCCAGTCTTCATCAGTCCACCTTCCATCTCCCCGCATGAAAACACTGGAGTTACTATTTGCTTCATTGTTTGGCTCTCCTGAATTCCAGTTAGTGTACGACTGTCCATCTATGAAGGAGGTGCCATCTTCCAAAGACCACAGCCATTTCTGACTATCTCCTTTCTGTAGGCCGATCCATACATGGTGTCCAGCTTTATTCTGAAGTGTGGCTTTCAGTGTGTTCATCTCTTCCATGTTGTTGATGGTGGCCAGATCAGTGTAGATCTGTCTGCAGTAGCTCTGAGCTTCAGTCCAGGTTTTATTCTCACTCACAAAGTGATACCGATGAGGAACGTATGAAGTGAGACAGATCCCTGTGAAGAATAAAAGAAAAAGTCTTATCAGGTCATATTATCCTGCAGTAGAGGTAAGTTTTCAGTGTTCTATGCAAACAGATAAATGCAGAGCAAGTAAATACTGTCAGGTCTATCAATATTTGGAGGTTAATGAAGTTATTGTCATGTTAGCTGTCTACCACAGCATATTAGAGTCCAAATTACATAATGAATATGCATACTACCAGCTGTAATTTGACCATATTATCATTCAAATTGGGTGAAAGGTGTAGGAATTGCTAACATTTTCATACATAGTCCCCTATTTCAAGGGGCATAAAAGTAATTGGACAATTGGCTGCTCACTTTCTCCATGGCAAGGTGTGTTCTTACCTCATTATTTCACCGATAAGTAAGCAGACAAAAGGCCTAGAGTTGATCTCAACTGTGGCATTTGCATTTGGAATCTGTTGCCATTAACTATTGATGTAAAGTTCAAAGACCTTCTCACTGCCAGTGAGGAAAGCCATCATTAGGATGAAAACTCTAAACAAATCCATCAGAGAGACAACAAAAACATCAGGTGTGGCCAAATTTAAATTTTCCACTTGTACATGCCAAGAGTTGGGCTCAAAATTCAAATTCAATAATTCCTTTTACATTTGCAATTTGGCACACTAGTATTGACATGTTATTTAAACAGAGATGAGTAGCGTTAACTGTACTGGTACACGTAGATGTGTGTAAATCACACAACCACCTTCTCACAGTGGCTGCATTGGGAACAGCTGCTGTTGGTACTTTGTCATATTTAAGTGGAATTCAGTCATTCAATTAATTCAATTAATATTACAAAAATCACTGGTATAAGTGTTAGACAGTGAGCTGAGTCATCTAGCCAGCTGGTAAAATCAGCAGATTGGGTCCTTGTTTGGGAATGTAGCATTAGCTGTAGCATTACCAATAGCTTTCAACAAACTTAATTCTCCAGCCTCCACAATTCATGTAACTTATTAGCGGGTGAGGTGATGACAGATCAATATATGCCCCTCTGACACTCAAGTTGTAGATTATATCTCTGCATGGCATCAACTGGAAACTGGAAATTTTCCAGTCCACCCAAAACGGTATTGCTGTAAAGTCGGTAGGCCACTGGGTTGATCCGATGTTCCTCCCTAAAAGGCCTATGCAACATGAGGCAACTTTTCTGGACTCCACTTTTAACTGTAGATCCTTAGTGGAGAGCCATACTCACGGCCCTGGGTAGAAGGAGTGACCCAAACAAACATCACCCATGGTCAGCTGTCTTCTTTCGCTATGCAATGGCTTTTGTAGCATGGTGCAGGCCTTCTGCAATGACCACTGATACCACAAAATAAAGTTTCAGGCTGTGGGAACCTCTACTTCCAGCTCCTGCTCAAGAAACATGGGTGGAGGATATCCAAATTGACACTCAAAGGGCGACATGCCCAGAGAGGTGTTCCACAGAGTGTTATGGGCATACTCCACCCAAAGCAGATGCTCATGCTGCAACAAGAGCGTGACAGCCTCCTTGGCCTAGGGGAGTTTTGGTAGGGCGATAAATCTACAGGCCTTGGAAAATTCGATTTACCCCAATCATAATCACAACATTGACCGGACACGCTGACAGACTAGTGATAAAGTCTGTGGGGATCATAGCCCAAGGCCTGGATGGTATGGGCAAGGGTGAGAGCAAACCTGCATGTCTTGTTCTCAGCTCCTTGTTCTGAGTACAGTCCTGGCAGGCTGCTACATAAGCTTGCACATCCCTCTCCAGGTTGGGCCACCAGAAGTGTCTTTTCAGGAACTCCAGTGCACGGGTTCCTCCTGGGTGACTAGTGAAGGGGGAAGAATGTCCCCACTGGAGAACCTGGGCCCTAACAGGAAACTGAACACACAATTGCTCAGAGGGTCCACCCCAGGGTCAAGTTAGGCTTTAGGTGCCTCCTTAATGGTGTTTTCTATGTTTCAGCATAACAAGGTAATGTTTCGAGTTTGAGGTATTATAGTTACAGGCAATTGTTTCAGAGGAAACACGTTCCACTGCCTGGATAGGGCATCTGGCTTGATGTTTTTTGAATCAGGTTGATAAGAGAGGGTTCTTCAAAAGCTATCTGGGCTTCTGGCATTCACTGGAAGCATTTTCCGTTCCATTCTTAATAAGGGCAGTCAGCAGGGCCGCCACAGTACTGAAGTTCTGTATGAATCGGTGGAAAAAATTGGCAAAGCCCAAAAGCTTTCAACTGAACAGAGGGATGTGGGGCATGGCCATTCTGTGATGGCCTGAGTCTTAGCTGGGTCATGCTCAGACAGTTCTTGGAGACCACAACCTGAGGAAGTTAATTGACTGAGCATGGGAGATTTCTCCAGCTTATAGTGAAGACATTATGAAAATAAGTACTTTGTGGACACAAGCTGCATGTTTCTCTACTGACTGTAGATGAGGATATCACAATGTACTTGTAATGACCAGATGGTGTAATAAATGCGGTCTTCCATTAATTTCCCTGGCGCACCCTAATGAGATTATAGAAACTGTGCATGTCCAGTTTGCTACAAACCGAGGCCTGCTGCAGTGCCTCAAATGCTGAGGTCATCAATGTCAAGGGGTTGTGGTCCTTAACTGTAACTTTGTTTACCCCCTGTAGTCAATGCAAGGATGAAGCCCCCCTTCTTGATGTACTTGTTCATAGCAGTCTTTTCAGGACCCAAAAAAGAAAACAACTTTCCTCTGGGGGGTGGTCCCCAAGAGAAGGTTGATGATGTAGGGCAATGCAGGCTTGAGAGCATTAAAAAAAAGAAAAGTGCAGTTACATCAAGCAAGCCTCAAACTCGCAACCTCATGATGTGGGGGCAAATGCTTCACCACTAAGCTGCCAAAATAATGTTCTATGAAGTCTTGCAGGAGGGTTGATAAACAAAAGGGGGGAGGTTATGGCCAAACAAAAGAAATGGCAGAGCAGCGTCTTCAACAAAAGAGAGTTTTAATACCCCCGTTGGAAGATTCTCAAGAAACCAGTACTTGAGAGAGGAATGAATACCGATATACGAATACCAGCTTAGTCTGAGACTTGCATGTATCAGTGTGAACTCAAGACAGAGCAGAAACCAGCATGTGAGCACCCACCCCTAATTACCACTTAGTGGTGCCTTGTTTCCTGCTAGCAGCTGGAGGTGGCCTAACATGAGGATGGGATATTACAGATTGATAGTTAACGCATACTCAATTTACTGTCAAAAATGAACCATCCAAATAAAGTGTTACCTTAACTTTAAATTAAGCTGTGCATGAAGCCTCAACTTCTTTGTAAATGAAATGATAATCCTAGTGCACCAAATGGCAAATGTAAATGGAATTATTGAATTTGAAATTTCATTTTGAGTCCAAACGTAGATGCATGAGTGGAAAATTTAAGTTCAAACTTAGGATTACTTTGCCATTTTGCATATTACATTTTTTATTTTAATTTTGATATTGATATAGTTTCACAAATCAACTATTTGGTATGTTAATAAAAAGAAAGGAGAATGGAAAACAATGGTAGTGGGTGACAGAATATTTCTTCTATAGTGAAGAAAACTACCTTCGGGATGGTTGACCAGGGGGTAGACATATCAGTGCCAAAGTAAACAATCAAGAGAAGATTTCACAAGTAAATACAGTAGGTTTACCACAAGATGTAAACCATAAAAACAGGACGACCAGATATGAATTTGCCAAAAAACATCTAAAAAAAAGCCTGTACAGTTCTGAAACGTCTTATGGACAAAAAAATATTAACTTGTACCACAAATATGGAAAGAGAAGGGTATGGAAAAGAGAAGAAACTGATCATGATCCAAAGCAACTCATCTGTGAAGCACCTGTTTTTTTTTTTAATTAAGACTAACAGTTTTTTAAAAGAAATTCTAAATTAGCTTAGTATTTAAATGCAAGAAATGGTAGCTAGACACAAAAAGTACACTGACCTGAGAAGAGCAAGGCAACTGAAATCCATTTCTGATCCATGAGAGAAAATGTGTTTCTCAGCCTAGAAGTTTGGTTTACATTTGAGGTTTTAATAGCATTTCATTGCATTTTCACTGCATTTAAACTGGCATTAATAAATATCACAAATAATAAGTCATACTCACGCCATGAATATGATTGTTCAACAGTCCTGTTGGTAGCTTTGTAGAAAAGCAAATGCCACTGTCTGTTCTTCTCCACTTCACTTTGTGTTCACATACAGAATATCACCTCTTTAGATCTCTCTTAATACTGCTCCACCTTTGTTGCATGTAGCCACAGAGAGATACCATCACAGTCATACTTTACTTCATTAGCTGGTGACAGTACCAGGAAATGCCTAGAGCATGTTCCAGTGAATATCTCTTGAGAGTTATAGTGTGAAACAAAGCTCTTTGCATGAGTTTACATCACGTGTACAGAAAGATGCAGGTGAACGTCAGAAAACTAGTAATCAGCACCTCAACATCAGAGATGAATATCATTGTGGTTTTCTTTGTGGACTTTTTGGGTTGCAAGAGGAGAAGCTTCATGTGCAGTGCTGTGAAAAAGTATTGGCCTCTTCCCAATTTCTTCTGTTTTTTGCATATTTATCATATTTTAATGTTTCAGAACATTAACCTACTTTTAACCCTAGTAAACACAAAATGCTGTTTTTAAATGGTGATTTAATTCATTGAAGGAAAAATGCTGTTCAGCCATATGTGAAAAAGTAATTGCTACCACATCAACCAGTTATCAAAATCAATTGACTACTGGGTTTTAGGTCACTAACCACAACTAGGCATGATTACTGACAGACCTGTTGAATCTAGCCTTCACTTAAATAGAACCTGTCTGGTAGTGTGAAGCAGACTAGAAGGTCTCAAAAAGCAGCACATGATGACATGTCCTAAAGAGATACACCAGTAAAATACACCGGTAAAACAAATACAGAGGTGAAACTACCAGTATGGAAAGTGTTACAAAGCCATAGCTAAGGCTCTGGGGCTGTAGTGAACCACATTGAGATCTATTATCCAAAAATAGTGAAAACTTAGAACAGTGGTGAACAGTCCCAGGAGTGGCCAGCCTACCAAAATTTCAGCAAGAACGCATCAATGACCCATTCAATAGGTCACAAAAGACGAGCATCTAAAGAACTGCAGGCCTCATTTGCCTTAGTTAAGGGCACTATACATGATTTCACAATAAGAAATCCATTGGGCAAAAATGGCATCCATGGGAGAGTTACGAGTCGCAAGCCACTGTTGACTGAAAAGAACATAAAGGCTTGTCTTCCATTTGCTAAAAACATCTAGAAGATCTCCAAGACTTCTGGATTAATATTCTAAGGATTGATGAGTCAAAGGTGGACATGAGTCCTGTTACATCTGGCATAAAGCTAACACCGCATTCCACAATAAGAACATCATAACAACAGTCAAACATGTTGGTGGTAGTGTGATGGTCTGGGGATCCTTTGCTTCTGCAGGACCTGAACAACTTGTTATAAGTAATGGAACCATGAATTTTGGTCTCCATCAGAAAGTCCTGAAAGATAATAAGTGCAGTTGGGTTATGCAGCAGGACAATGAGCTGAAACACACACACAAAAAAAAAAAAAAATCATCTTTCAATGGCTTAAAAGAAACAAAATTAAGGTCTTGGAATGGCTAAATCCTGACTGAAATCCCATTGAAAAGCTGTGGCAAGACCTTAAACTGGCAGCTGACGCTCGAAAATCCTCCAATGTAGGATTTGCCAAACCCAGATTTGTCTATCAGAGTGCCAGTAGTGAAGCATGATTCATCAGTCCGGAGAAAATGTTTCCACTGGCAGATAGTCCAGTGGCAGCATGCTTTACACCACTCTATATTACATATAGTGATCTTAGGCTTGGCTCGGCCATGGAAACCCATTTCATGAGGTTCCTAATTCACAGTTCCTGTGCTGATGTTGCTTCCAGAAGCAGTTTGGAACTCTACGATAAGTGATGCAACAGAGGAGAGGTGATTTCTACATACTACATGCCTTAGCACGTGGCCCTGCTCTGTCACTTTGCTTGATCAACCACATCATTGCTGAACTGTTGTTGCTTGTAGATGCATCCATTTCACAATAATAGCATAAACAGTTGATTGGGGCAGATCTAGAAGGGCAGAATTTTAATGAAGTGACGTGTCAAAGGTGGCGCCCTATGGGAATGCGATGTTTAAAGTCATATTTAAACTCAGTATACCAGCCACTTCATTAAGTACACTTCCTTGTTTCCATGCTCATTGTCCATTTTATTGGCTCCATTTACCAAATAGGTACACATTTTTGTTCTACAGTTACAGACTGTAGTGACTGCTGTCACTACTGCTGTGTCTGATCCACTCGTACCGGCGCAACACACACTAACATGCCAACACCATGTGTCACTGCAGTTCTGAGAATGATCCACCACCAAATAATAGCCATTCTGTGGTGGTCCTGACCACTAGGTAGAACACTGTGGTAACCACGTGGCGTTTGACCTGTTTGCTCATCTGTATAATTCTGTGTGCTATACACATTAGCCATGTAGATCTGTTTAGCCAGTTCTGGCTATCCTTATGCTGTTCACTGTAGATGTGTGTGTTTATCTAGCCTTTTACTGAGCATCTGCAGTTAACTGTTAATGTGCCGTCAACATAATGTGCAAGTGAGATAATTACTTTCCGGTGCTTTGTGGGTGTGAATCAGTTCTTCAGCAGACCATTATGTGCCAAACGCAGTACCTCACAGTGTGAATGAGCCAGCAGAAGAGCATTGTTCATTTTCCAGCATGCTTCCTGGCTCCTCCTTGTGTTTGCCAAATACTTTGAAAAAGTAGTGATGACTGAATACTAAAATATGCAGTCCTAAATGTATTCAGTCATAATCCATGAAAAAAAAAAAATTAAAATACATGTATAGTGCTTTTTGAGACACAAAAATCTTCTGCCGTAATTTTACTTTATTCACACTGTTCCTCACTTTGTGCTTTGATCTCTTGCTATATGATTTTTAGTTGCTGACATGGTAAATAATTTCTGTAATTTCTACAATACTGTACTGTGTTCGAGTCTCTACGATACTTTAAATGTATTTTACGTTTTTTTGTAAAACAAAAAAAAATGCATAATCCCTTGTTGAACTTTGGGAAAACATTTATAGAACATGCAGATTTTATTTTAACAAACACCTTATTGCAGGGCTATTGGAGTGGTAGGAGAAGTGAGCAACCGGAGGGTTGCGGGTTCCCAGGATTGAGTGGGTATTGCCCTCTTGAGCAATGCACCTGAGCCCCTACTAACCATACTGATCCCATGGGCATAGTTAGGCAGCAAAGTACCAAATTTCCTTGTAAATAACTTTCCTTATTAAAACAATATTGTAATAATACCTCAAAACATGCAAACCCAATTCAGAAGATTCAGAGAATCTGGAGAAATATCTGTGGGAAAAAAAAGGCAGAAAACCACAAATGAATGACTGTGACCTTTAACCCCTTAGACACCACTGCATTAAACAACAGCATGTTTCTTTGATGGATATCACCACATGGGCTCGAAAATACTTTGGAAAAGTACTGTCAGTGAACACTGTCCATTGCTGCAACGACAAATGCAAGTTAATACTGTACTATGCACAGTGGAAGCCATATATCAACAGTGCCCAGAAATGCTGCCAACTTCTCTGGACTCAAGCTCATCTGAAAAGATCTGATGAACAATGTACAACATGTATAATTACGGAATCTATTGCATGATAATACATCAATAAATAAATAAATAATAAAATCAAAATACAATTATATACCAAGCCACATTTTGCTTGAGTTACAACAGTATATCAGAGAATAAGGTGCTAGACTGGCCTTCCTGCAGTCCAGAACTGTCTGAAAATGTGCCGTTTTTACGTTGTACAGTTAGACTTATATAACAGAATAATGGCAAAAAAGTCCTCTTCTACTTGATTAATTGATGCTCTTCCCCAAATGATGTGCTGTCAAAAGAAAAGGTGATGTGAAACACACTCTTGTCTAAACTTTCTTTAGAGCTTGTTACAGGCATCATATTTGGAATCAGCATGTGTAACAATGCTGGACTAGGAGGGTTGTTAGGATCCATGAGCAGGCTTTATTGTGACAGATGAAGGTACAAAAAACGCAGTCCAAAAACAGATTCAGGGTAGAGCAGAGGGTCAGAGGCCAAAAAGACAAAAACAGACCCAAGACAGAAAAATCCAAGACAAAATCCAAAACTCAGAGTCAAAAAAGGGCTAGCCAAGATCAAAAAAACCACAAAGTCAAAATGTTACAGAGAACATTTTCAGGATTGTAGTCACACCAACAATGCTTCACGACAAGTGGAAAGAGTGTGAGTATTTATAGGGGAGTTGATGAACAGAGATTGACAACAGGTGTGGGTGAGTGGCAGTCAGAATTCTGGAGACGATGACCTCTGGTGACCAGTTTGGGAGTTGCACATGGCAGCATGTAGAAATGTTTACCACTATCAAAAAGACACAGCTTTTGCACAAGTCATTGCTTGTTGTTTTTCACAGCTTTGCGATACACAAGCAGAATTTTCTTGAACAGTTCAGAGCGTCAAGTTTGCTGCCACTCCAGGCAATGACAGCAGCAGCATTTCTCTCAGCTGCCTTCCACTTTTTCTGGTGGGGTGCTGACACATATTCTAAGTGACAAATCACACTTCTCTATCTGACAGTCTGATGGATGAGTCTGGGTTTGGTGAATTCCAGGACAATGTTACCTGCCTAACTGCACTGTGCCAATTGTAGAGTTTGGTGGAGGAGGGCTAATGCTATGGGGTTGTTTTTCAGGGGTTGGCCTAGGTCCCCTAGTTCTAGTGAAGGGAAATCTTAATGCTTCAGCAGACCAAGACATTTTGGACAATTGTATGATTTCAACGTTGTGGGACAAGTTTGGGGAAGAACGTTTTCTGTTCCAGCATGACTGAGCCCCAGTGCACAAAGCAAGGTTTATAAAGGCATGGCTGGGTCAATTTGGTGTGGAAGAACTTGTCTGGCCTACACAGAGCCCTGACTTCAACCTCATAAAACAGCTTTAGGATGAACTAGAATGGAGATTGCGAGCCAGGACCTCTCCTCCAACATCAGTGTCTGACCTCACAAATGCTCTTCTGAATGAATGGGCAAAAATTCCCACACACACACACACACACACACACACACACACACACACACACACAC